TTTGGCTTATTCACGTTTTGGGCTCTGGTCGCCGTCTTACAAGTCAGATCAAGCTCATTTTTGGATCACACACTCGGGAACAGATGCTCTAGTTACCCTGAGGGTACCAAACTTGTAGTTTGATTTTCAGGTCAAGGTCAGGTTATCACAGGTCACGAAAATATTATATCATGTGTCGGTCACGTGACACATGTTTTATGGTCCATTTAGGTCAGAGATTTCGAATTTGATGTCGTCTGTGTCATTCGAGGTCATTTTGAGTCGAATTTAGCTTATGTTAGGTCATTTTCAGGTCAAAAAAGGTCAAATTTTGAAGTTAATATTTTTCAATAACAAAGGTGTCTATTGGATGCAGTTTGAGCTCAGGAACACGATGGTGCTATTTATATTGGCGTACGATGTCAAATACGTGCTGAAAAATTGATTTGAAAAATAAATAATTGAGAATTTTTTTGCAATAATGCGTAAAACTTGGCCATTTTTGAAGATATTTAGCTAAAACTTACTAGAGTGAGTCATAATAATGCGTTCTATCACATATATTCCGTTTTTTTTTTTCGAAAAGTCAAAAACTTTTTGAAAAAAGAATGTAAAAATATAAATTTTGGATATTATTATATCAAATTTTCAAAAAATTTCAAAATTTCGCAAATCCAAGATAGCAGTTTGATAGCGCAGTCTATTTTGAGTCCTCTCATGCAAAGAAATTGGATCTAGCCTAAAAACTGAGCTCTTGGGAGCGATTGCCGTGGTTCAATGTTTTGCGTCGAAATCGGCCGAACATGACGTCACTCTGACGTCATTTCCGGCCGACCTATAGTAGGTACGAAGTTCAAATTTTGACACAAGGTGTCAAATTGATGCAGCCTAAGGTACTGAAAGTTTGGCGTCGATACGTCAAGCGGTTTGGAAGTTATTGCAGAAAAACGGGAGTGGGGGCTATAAATAGCCCCCCCCCCCCAGTGGGGCGCGGGTTAACCCGGCCCGTGGGATCGACTGCGGACGATGCACGTCCTTTGACGAGGTGCCTGTCGAACGCTCGGATAGCTGCGCCTGGAACCCATCCGGGTGAAAGGAAGAGAAAATATCAGCTTGTCCATCAACGGGGAAACTTTCCCGGAGATTTGTAAAAGAGCTCGCCACGAAGAATAGAAAATAGGCGGAGCAGCGCCGAAAAAGCCAGACAGGCTTCACTGCTCGATGGTAGGCACAACAACAAGGGCTCACGCTTTAGGACATGTTTACGAAACCGGGAAGATAAAACTTTTGATGCCTCGATGCGTTTATAGGCCATGGCTGTCGATTCCACGCTCGCAGACGTTTGCAAATGCTGAACAACAAGGCCGTATCTTCGGGAGTCATCCCAGTGAGATCACGTAAAGATGTTGTTTGCCAATTTTATCATAACCCGCGGCGGGCGGGGGGGGGGTGTTTGAACACCCCCCCTCCGGTTTTTGGAAGATATCGCGCCGCCATTTTAACACGCGCAGTGGAAGGGGGGGGGGCGGATTTCGCCCACCCCTCCTGTTTTTCGCCAATAACTCGCGCCGCAAGCATAATATCAATGTGAAATTTCGGCTACCTGTCCAGAATTACATTGCGGATCTTCTCGTGCAAAAAGTAAGAAAATCGGTTCACAACTTTTCTAGTAATAGCGGTGTAAAGTCAAACATCCTGCCGCCGCGGCGGCCGGCGCTAGCCGTTACGCGCCGCCTGAATTGTAGACTGTGCCGGGGCGGGACGGTTCCGTCTTTACATCGCGCTCCCTCCTTACCGCTGATTATATTAGATTCGCGTCAAATTCGCTGAGAAGACTGAGAAATGTACAGGCAATCATATGGTCAAAGAATTTTGAAAATCGGCCGGTAACAACTTGAGTTATGAGTGTGTAAACACAAAATTGTGATTGCCACGTTTCCCGCGTCGGCCGATGCCGCTTCAGCCGGCGACATCTTACCCTTCGCAGGCTTCTAACTGCCATATTTATTGTTGGATTATCTAGAAATTCACCATACATACTCAAAAATGTTTGTTCTTTCGTATAGTGAAAGATTTTAAAAAATCGGCCGGTAACTTTTTGAGTTATCGGCGTGTAAACGCAAAAAAGTCGCTAATATGGTAGATTTGACCACATTTGACCTCATTTGACCTTGAAGATATTGACCTAGGGTCATGAAATTCACACACAACAGAGGTCCCAATGGCCCCCACCTACCCTTCAAATTTCGTCTTTCTAGCTCCAGTGGGAGCTGAGATCTTAGGGGGGGGGCGACATCCGCCCCCCCCCCCCTTCCACTGGGCGTAGTACTCGCAACCCTTCCACTGCGCGTGTTAAGCACACCTGTTTGTGCATCTTTTCCGCACATGATGTGAAAATTTCAGACCCAGGTCGCTCAAGGTCAGGTCACCAGGTCACGCTAAGTGACCTCACCTCAGAAAAAAGATAGAATGCTCGTCGTAACTCATAGCTACACCGACTGAACGTTTCCTTGACACTTTCAGAGGTTGATAAGAGTAACAGTATCTATAAAATGTATATCTCGGAATTTCGATAACGGGGATCTAAGGTCAGGTCAATTTTGCAGCCTCTCCATTATAAGTCAATGGGAGAAAATTGAAAAGCGTCTGTTTTGCACGAACGATATTCTAGACACTCTCAAACCTCGAGATGTAGGTAGAATTGACACACTGAACCGGAAAATGGCACCTGTCCTTTTGTCTCCGAGGTCATTTCAGGTCACGAATAGTATCTAACAGTTTTTCGTTAATAACTTATGATAGAGGCATGCTAGAGCGATGAAAACGCCTTAGATGTGTTCGGCTCGACGATGCGGATCGGCTGACATGCAACATGACCTTTTCCGGTCAGGTCATGACCTTGACCTGAGGTCAAATTTTCAAGTTGACCTTTCATGGTCAAATTATAGTTCATTCGAAGCGTATCGAGGAGAGGAACACGATGCTTGCAAAAGTAAAGTCGTGGCTCTTTTGAGTCAAAAGTTATTGCCGAAAATCACTTCATAAAAACGGCTATTTTTTTGAGTATTTGACCTCTGGAGGCTAAACTGTTGACCTGAGGTCAAATGTGAGGACATGTAGGCGAAAGAGCGTTAAAAGAGCTATCGAATGCGCTTTTGCGCGATGGTGCAGCTCTATCGGTTCCCGAGTTGGCCGTTGGCAGTTTCCAAAATGTTGAAATGGGCAACATTTTACCTTTGGTGACCTCTGGTGACCTGACCTTTGACCTGAAACAAGAAATGACCGAGTGTTTTCGTCCTTATTTTGGATGTTCTTTCGATTGCCGCTTACCGCGTGTCGCTACGTGGCCCAGGAGCCGAGTTAGAAGGGGGTGTTCAGACACCCCCCAGACCCCGGCCCGACGCGGAAGTCCCGGAGCACCGGCCCGGCGCGGAATAAAATGTACACAAAACATTTGCACACAATTTAATACATGTGTTGCAAATACGGTACATATATTATCCTGACTGCATGGTGCTGAAAATGTTAGGTGATAGGCAGCTTCAAGAAAAGTCAAACGGCATCTAAAGATATGGAATATTTATGATTTGTTAACAGGAGCGAAACACACGACGGCTTTGCTCTGCATGAGCGTTGCATGCATTAAAAGTGTTGTTGCTGGCTCAAAACCCCTACACATACAACCACGCACGCGCACACGTGCATACAAACATCTTCTTTACCCGCGCTGATGTAGGCACCAGGCCGCTGTTGTCGCTAACAAGCGCTGTGTCCCGTCTGCAAACTGTGCCACTCGGGCTCTGTCAGGCATAGAAATGTCTGGACTGGAGCTCACCAGTGAACGCTGTCTACTGTCTAGTTCCTGTGTACTGCTCGAGCCGCCTCAGCACACACCAGTTGTGCCGGCTCCCATTGCGGAGCGCATTGTTAGGTACTCTGTAACCACAGACTACAGTACAGGGCTTGGTGAGAGTGACGGTGGCCTCAGGAAAAGTTTCCGGGTCGTTCAGTTTCCACGCTGATGTAACAGCGACTTGAACAACGGTCTATGGGTACGGCAACTCATTGTGGTGAACGGAGTCAGAGCTGGACCTGGCCACAGGTCAATTAGACCATCAGCAACCAAACGAGGCAGGCAGGAGAAGTTCGCGAGTACTGTGCTCAAGTTGTATGGAAGTGGAATTGCTATATTGTCAGCTAAGGGTTACATAGACGCTTGAAGACCAGTTTCCAAGCCGTAACACGGGTCAATGGCTGGTAGAAGGTGCTAACATCCCAAAGAGAAAGGGTATAAACACGTACATGCATGCTGTCTTGATGGCAGATTTCACTCTACCATCGCCTCAGCTCTCCCAATGTCGAGGACAACTCACTTCATTTTAGCTGCGGAGAGCTACATTGCGGTTTGAATGCACTTTGTGACTGGTTTTATCATGTAAATGTGGCAGGCATTTCGGTGACAATACGTTACCCGTTTTCACTGAAAATCAAAGTAATGTTTTATGCAGATGACGGTTTAAGACGGATAGACGGTTAAGGATCACATCCAATCTATTTCCTGTCGGAGTTCAATTCAGATAATGCCCGCAACATCAGTGCCCCAGCAGTCTTCATGGCGACAGCGCATCGCTCTCCCTATCTATTTACGCGACATAAGGCAAAGGGCCGGTTCACCGTGTACGGTTGGCCGATACTACCGAAGGCTGGCAAATGATTTGACGTAGTTAATAGCTGATATTTAGAGTACATTGTCTCGGCACGGAGTAAAACATATAACCTGTGACACTGTGGTTTCATCGTCCGGGGCATCTTTTCAAGTGATGAGTCTTATCCATGTCTCAGAGCAATGGCTCGGAGGCCAGGTGTTGAGCTAAATTGAGGAAAATAAGAGTATTTGCGACTATCCACAACTGCCACAGCGTTGGCCCCGTCGGCGTCGACTCTCTACCGTGTGCCGCATCAGACCCGCCGGCCACATGCGGTGCGCCTCAGCGACTCTGTAGTCTGTACCGTGTGCCGCAATGTCGCTCCCGCCGGCTCTGTACCGTGTGCCGCACTGTGTCAGCACCGTCAGCTCTGTACCGTGTGCCACACTGTGTCAGTACCGTCAGCACTGTACCGTGTGCCGCACTGTGTCAGCACCGTCAGCTCTGTACCGTGTGTCGCACTGTGTCAGTCAGTACCGTCAGCACTGTACCGTGTGCCGCACTGTGTCAGCACCGTCAGCTCTGTACCGTGTGCCGCACTGTGTCAGTCAGCACCGTCAGCTCTGTACCGTGTGCCGCACTGTGTCAGTACCGTCAGCACTGTACCGTGTGCCGCACTGTGTCAGTCAGTACCGTCAGCACTGTACCGTGTGCCGCACTGTGTCAGTCAGCACCGTCAGCTCTGTACCGTGTGCCGCACTGTGTCAGTGCCGTCAGCACTGTACCGTGTGCCGCACTGTGTCAGTCAGCACCGTCAGCTCTGTACCGTGTGCCGCACTGTGTCAGTGCCGTCAGCACTGTACCGTGTGCCGCACTGTGTCAGTCAGCACCGTCAGCTCTGTGCCGTGTGCCGCACTGTGTCAGCACCGTCAGCTCTGTACCGTGTGCCGCACTGTGTCAGTCAGCACCGTCAGCTCTGTACCGTGTGCCGCACTGTGTCAGTACCGTCAGCACTGTACCGTGTGCCGCACTGTGTCAGTGCCGTCAGCTCTGTACCGTGTGCCGCACTGTGTCAGTGCCGTCAGCTCTGTACCGTGTGCCGCACTGTGTCAGTACCGTCAGCTCTGCGCGGTGACAGGTGGGCCTCGCTGATGGCTGAGGGCGACTACCTCCGTCGCCGAGCCCCGCTGGGTGACAGAGCGGCGGCCGACGTGAGCCGCGAGGACGGAGCCACCGCCGGCGGCCACCATCCGTCCCCGCAGACAGCCCACTGGCAGGCTCATCGTTTTAGCGGCCGGCCCAGTTATTGTTTTACAGACGCTGGCGGTGTGGCGGCTCGCCTGAGGGCACGCCAGGAGTGCGCGCTACACCCGCCTGCCAGACACCCGGAGCTCCGGAGGTGTCAGCCTCCAACAGAGCACAGGCCTTGTTTGTTCCACGGATCTCCAATTTAGCACATAACTACACTGCTAAAACACTTCACAAAGACAATAAACAAGTCTTCCAAAGAAAAATGTTGGCGAATGAGGCTTGATTCAGACAAGAAAAGTTGGCAGCTATCAAACAAAAACACCTGTCGACTCCGTGCTTCATAACTTCCCGTTAGTTCACGCAGTTCCGCCTCCTTCCCCTTCGTCTGCTGTGGCGCGCCGTGTCGCAGCGAACTTGCCTGTACAGGTAGACTGTGCCGCGCGACATAGACGCTCTGCGGCACAGCATGCTCCCGCTCCTCGCGCAGCCGCGAGTTCGAGCGACAGGAAAGCCGATACAGGTGCCGCGTGCGATGTAGGGTTGTGCGGTTTGCATCGATTACTCAAACAGGTGTGTTTGAATCAACACGTTGGGTCCTTGTGAGAGCCGCCCATGACGGTCCAATCAAAGGTCACCTTCAACAAGTCTGCAACAAACGTCGGTTTTCCAAGTGCGGCGGAACTCAATGCATAACTGAAGAAACGAAAGTAAATTGAATAGAAGCAGAAAAATACCTGGCTCAATTGAAACTAGTTAGCAACCCTACGTATGCAAATGAAATGCCGCTGGACCGTTCCACCAGTCTTCCAGCAGCCTTCGATCTGAAGTTTACATTTTGTGCTGTGCATTAAATACTCCGCTAAATGTAACCATTTCTATTTCTGAACCACATTTGTAGTTCAATCCCTCCTAATAGATTATTTAAATGTAAGACAGCGCTACAAATAATTCATGCATATTATGTATGGTGTCAAAAGCAATAAACAGAGGTATCATCTCCGACAAAACCTCGGAAGCCACTCTGTGTGTTTGGAAGTGACTTCCTACAGGTTGTTTTCATAACCGAAATTTATAGGCCCACAAATTCATTCGCTCACTTTTACGATGTTATCTTGTTGTCAGCATAGCCAGCATATCTGAATTACGTCGTGCTGGCTCCCACGTGTCTCCCTGCTGCTGCCCGTGAATTAATTACGGTCGAGCTGGCACTGCAAAACGGCTTCGGCGCTGCCGGTGCGTGATTTTAAAACTTTAGTTCATTATTTCACTCTATATTAATGGCCTTCTAATAACAGAAGACACTTGGTCATGCCTCTGCGGTGGAGTCGTCATGACGCAGTGTTCTATAGTTGGATCGGGACGTTCAATTTCTGGCTACGGCGGCGCTGGCTGCGCTACGAGCTATAGGGAAGCCCGGCGGCCGGCGCCGCGCCGGCTGCCTCGGCCGAGCGGCACTCGTCAGCGCGGCGGCGCCCTAAGCGGCCGCCGGCGGCGCACCACTTTATTTGGCACATCAAGCACCTCAAACGTAATTACAAAAATTCCGCCGGGGCTTCATAACGGCGGTGCGGTGCTGGCCGCTGAGTTATCGCGACGACGACGGGCCGCGGCAGTCACCGACGAGCGTGACGTCACCGCCGGGCGACCAGACGGGTCGGCACCGCCGCGCCGGGAGCGGACTCCGCGGCCGAACCTCTGACCTTAGCTCACCACAAGCTGACGTCATCAGAACATGCAGCATTCATTGCTGCGGAATACGGATATAACAAGTTTGTAGTCTTCCTGGGCTTCCAGTTATGGCTTAATCACATATATTTTTCCACCACCTATATGTCCAATTCTGGCCACCAGGAACCTCCACTATCATCATGCAAATTTGATGGCTTTGGAACCTACAATAGACAATAATAAGTGTACGTCCTAACCCTTATTTTTCTAGTCCACATTATTGTGAAAAACTCGTCAGATGAATGCAGGCGAGGAATTGAAACCCCAATTTAATTCTTCTCATTAAGAAGATCAACGAATATTGTAGAATTATATGCTAAACCCAGGAACAGGGAAGAGTGAACTGGTCGGGAGAGAGGAGAAGGGAAAGAGGGATTAGACAGGCTGGAAGACGAAGGGCGCGGGATGACTCGACTGCCGACAAATGGACTCGATATGAATGGGAACAAGGTGTCAGATGTGATGAAATAGGGCGAAGGCAGCCGGATTAGTTGGAGAGAAATGAGCCCCAATGTGTCCACGGGGAGATCTTGGGTAAAGATGAAACGTCTGGAAAACTTGCCTCCAAAGGGTCATCCAAAGGAATGGAATCGACACCGGATTAACTGACAGGGATTACGGCAAGCAGGAGACGCCATTCTGAGGGATAATGTTCAAAACACACAATTGGAATGTGAGATGGAAATTGTCATCGTGGCATATAATAAAGATCAAAGGGTGTCTGGCCGACGGACACAGCCGGTGCAGTGGGACTGGCGTCGCAGGGCACCCGCGGGTCTGTGGGGAAATCACAGCGCGGCAGATCTCCGTGGCCATCTGTCGAGGCGCGGCGGCGTCCAGTCGTCTCCGGGGGCGGGGCAGACGGCAGAGCCCTATCGCTCTGCCGCGCCGCTGCCCGTACGAGAGGTGCCCTGATAAAGCAGGGAGCAGCGACGGACACAGCTTGTCATCGAGAGCCGTGCAGCGTCTAACGACAATCGATGCTCGCTGGGTGGGCGCTCGTTCGGCGGGCAGCCAGCGACTGCGTGTGGCGACGCAGGCCTGTGTACTGAGCTGCGGCGGGCTGCGCGGGCTGGGCGGACAGCAGAGGGGAGGGGCGGGGCGGGGCGTCGGTATTGGTTCCTCCCATAACGCGCGGGGACTGACGGCCGGCGCTGCCCGGTCGTGCCGCACCCTGTTTACGTCTGCTGGCCGCATGCTAATCAGCGCAGATGACGTAACGTGGCGCCGACGCCAGAAAACAGGGCCCGACGTCCACCGACAAGACCCGCGGTGGTCATGGTCTCACCGCATCTTGACAGGGTCATCAAATACCACCGCCCATGACCGTAACCGGCCATTTCGGTGTTCGGAGTGCCCCCAACAGGCTCACGGAAAGGGTACTTTCAACTGGTGGGGCCGTTTGACGGGATGACGTGCGAATTTAGTGTCCTTAAATGTCAATAGCTGCTAATAAGATAATGTGCTGCCAATTAGGACGCCGTAGATTAAAAGGCGACAGACGAGCGGCTATTGCCAGCGGCCGGCGCCGGCAGTCAATTACCAGCTATTGATTTTGTCGCTGCGGCGCCGACTCGCTGGACCGGCCGACAAAGGCCCGGTTAGAGAGTGTCGCTGTCGCCACTGACGACTGTCCCTCTCTGTCTGTTACAGCTCTCCAAGGACATCGGCTACGTGCTCTACTCGGCGCTGGGCAGCTTCTACGTGCCCTCCATCATCATGATCTTCGTCTACATCCGTATCTACTTCGCGGCTCGGAGCCGCGCGCGTCGCTACGTGAAGCGCCGGCCGCGCGCCGGGCCCGTGCCGCCCACACCTCAAACAGCCGTCGAGGTGCACCACAGCATGCCGCCTAGCGGTGACACCGACAGTCGTAAGTCGAGCGCCGGCAGCGAGGGTGCGCCGCCGTCGCGCGGCGGCAGTCGCCGGGCGGCGCCGGCGGTGCCGTCGGCGGCGCCGCCGCTGGCCGTGGTGCCGGTGGACAGCGAGCCTAACGGCCGAACACCCATCTCCGAGTGCAGCGCCGAGCCGGAGCGCTCCTCGTCCGACTCGGGGCCGCAGGCGAGCCGCTGTAACGCCGTGCTGCCGCTGCGCCGCCACCTGCGCGCGCCCGTCTGGGGCCGGAAAACATCCAAGGCTAAGCGCGAGATGATTGACATGGGTCGGCTGAAGGTGCGGGTCGAGACTCCGGCCGTGTCCGACGCACCGGCCGTGGAGGTGGCTGTCCGGCACAGAGACCCCGACCGCGAGAAACGGCGCATCGCCAGGAAAAAGGAGAAGCGCGCCACGCTGATCCTGGGTCTCATCATGGGCTCGTTCATCGCTTGCTGGCTGCCGTTCTTCTTCCTGTACGTGCTGGTACCGCTGTGTAGCTCGTGCCACGTGGCAGACTGGGGCTTCGCTTTCGCCTTTTGGCTGGGTTACATGAACTCGGCTCTAAATCCGGTCATATACACTATCTTCAACAAGGATTTCCGTCGCGCGTTCCGGCGTATCCTATTCAAGTGAGCCGGTGCGGAGGCGCCGCGCCCCGTGCGGTCAGCGACGTCGCGGCTCGGCCAGGGCGCCGAGAGACATCGTCGCCGGCATCAGGTGATAAGAGTTTTGTACGGGCGTGATGAATCGTACAAAGTCGCTGCGGACCATGGCGATCGCAACGCGCGCGCTCGTCGGCACAAGTTTGACAAAAGTTTGAACGTCGTCAGCGCGTCGGGCGACTCGACTCCGTCAGGAACGGAGTGCTGCTGATGATAAGCCGCGTCTTGGCAAAGTGATGTACATTCTGCCTGCCGGCGCCACCGTTGGACTCCCATGGGAGCCGATTCCTGGACTATCTGTGCTCACGCGGGTGGTGAGCGTGCGCGGGATGCCGTAGGCTGCGCCGTGCGGTGCAGACTCTGCTGTAGCGATTCGGACAAGCTCTGTTGTTACACGTCGTTGTCATGCACGTGCGCGCTGGGTCCGCCGTGCGGGCTCCGACTATTAGGAACTGGAGGAGCTCCTGGCGAGCCCGGACGATGGATGAATGAAGTCGAGCCACAGCTAGTGAGCGGTAATGCCGGACATACCGTGCTGGTAGAAATGTGTGAGGTTAGAGCGTCCTTCAACTTCTTTCAGTTAGATATCCACAAACCGACACAAAAGGCAGGGTAGGAGTTGCAACATATTTTACAGCGTAATATTTATTTTCCATATTAACGGTGTTCATAATTTTTAGAAGCATGTTGTTTATTTGAACTATCAAAAGTGGTGTCAACAACATCACATTCTACGAGTAGAGTATTAGTTTGCATTGAACTGCCAGTTCTAAACGAGACACGATCTCATTTAAATGAGAAGTTATTTAGCCAATTAACCCGCGCCCCAGTGGCGGTCTCAGCCAACTTCGCCCTAGTGGGGGGGGGGGGCATATGTTACCACCCACCTCTAACTCAAAAACTATGAGGGCTAGAAAGACGCGGTAAATAGCAGTCGATAGCTCTCAATGCGTACGTTTGAAAGTATTTCAGTCATTTTTCATCTTAGAGCAATATTGGGGTCGCTGGAGGTCATCAAAGGTCAAACTTTGCCAAATGTCATTATATTTCTCAGAAAACATCCATTTATCTCAAGAACTATGATAGCTAGAAAAACGGATGGAAAAGCAATCGATAGTTTTTGAATTCTTCTTTTGATAAAGTCAATATCAAAATTGACCTTAGGTCAACGGTTTAGCCTCCAGAGGGCAAAAACTCCAAAAATAGCTGTTTTTACGAAATGTGTTTTTCGACCATAACTTTTGACTAAAGAAAGCCACAACATTTCTATTGCCAGAATCGTGTTCCTCTCACCGAGACGCGTCGAATGAACTATAATTTGACCTTGAAAGGTCAACCTGAAAATTTGACCTCAGGTCAAGGTCATGACCTGACCGGAAAAGATCATGATGCATATCATTCGATGCGTCTCAACAAGACAAACACAATGAGACCATCCCCAGCGTCCTATCTCTTTCCAATCGAGAGTTATTGGCAAAAAGCGGTTTGTAGCCTCAAATGACCTCGGATGACCTTTCTAGCAGTGTTCGCCACGGGCCGCAAAATCCCAGTCCAGCCCAGACCAGGCCCATGGGTTCACAGCCCGGCCCAGCCCGAGCCCATTCATGGTTAAAGCGTCAAAGCCCAGCCCGGCCCAGCCCGTCAAAAATGAATGGATTAAAAATTATTGACACCACACAGGTATCCAAAGGAAGCAAAGAAAGAACCTTAGTTGCAAGCAGCATGCACAATGCACATTGCATGCGTGCTTTATTAACTCGTTTTTGAGTCTTGCACAGTACCTAATAAGCTATGACGTTATAGTTTTTGTCTCAGTTGCGAACCCCTGACTCCACTTTACATTTCTTGGCCCAGCCCATCCACAGCCCATCGATCTCTCATATTTGAGGGCCCAGCCCAGCCCGTAGCCCAGCCCAGCCCATGGCCCATTGGGCTGGCCCGCCCATGACGAACACTGCTTTCTAGAGGCTATCTGCAAAAAAGACAACTTGGTCGTCACGGGTGGTCCAAATAATTGTGATTCTGAAATATTTAGACTGTTCCTATGCGTACACACGGATCTAGAGGCATTCTCATTTTCTCCATTGACTTATAATGGTAAGGTCACGCCACTGACCTGACCTTAGGTCACGGATATAAAAAATCCGAGATATACAAATTGTAGACGCCCATAACATCATGCAATCCACCAAGTTTAAAACCTTTCTGACAAACATTGCTGGCTGGACATGATTGCAAACTTTTTTAAGGCTTGGTCAGCTAACTTGACCTGGTGACCTGACCTGACATGACCTGGGGTAAAAAATTTTCACATTGTCCAAAATAGATGTACAAAAAGCTACCCCAAGCGGCGCGGTGCTACGCGCCGCGGTTTTTTATTCACACGCAAAAACCGCGACAGGGTGGTAACATATGCCCCCTCCCACTGGGGCGAAGGTTAATGAATTTTGAATTATCCACTAAATTCAAAGAAAAAGTAGGTGCATCAAACATATCTCGGTCAAAAATCAAAGAAATGAAAATCAAATATAAAGTAACTGGTCTGGCTTCAATAACCCGTCAGGATTCACGGGACTTTATCCGCTTTCTTTCACTATTTATTTCTTTCAAATATCTGTTAATAATGCTATAATACGTCTTGCATTTTTTGCTTTTGCTTTTTTATACCCATGCTGCCTTTGGCTCGAAAAGAAGAAATTGGAAAAATGTTGAACGATAAAGATAAAACAGTAAACAGAGGTCATTTGAAACAGTTATTCTTTCCAAAACGTACTGACTCTTTAGGTAGCCTATACAACGGATATCAAATTTTCGTTCACATAATCCTAAAATACTCATTTGATGTGCCATGCGCAAAACAAGGGTAAAGTTTTTTGGTACTGACGATAAAAAGCTGCTAATGAAACCAAACGCGGTTTTATTGCATTGTCACTCACATTTTCTGTTGTTTATGGAATGTTCTTATAAATAATAGACGTATAGCCTGTGGGGCAACGGACTAGTTAGCTCTAAACAAATGGCACGCTACAAACAACACATCGATGCTCTAATACAATTGATATAGATGACTCCAATAAATGGAATAGTCTCCCAGCTCAGTTCGCCAGTGACCATCTGAACACGGTCAGTGTAATTGATTGCTCTTCGCGCCTGTATTTATTCAATAAATAACATATCCATATTTGTTGTTAGCCATGCTAGTTACAGTTATGATGCTCTAATGACCAAAGGCAGTGTGTGCGTGTGTATCAAGTGTTGTCTCTTTTCCGCCATCTTCATATAGGTACTATAGCGCTGCTACCACTGTGTGCTGAAGGTAAAATCACCGTGCAATGGAATGCGAGTCAGGCGGGCGTGCTTTGTCGTCAAACGCTGTATTGTAAATATACGATTCTGATATCAAATTTCCGTATCTGAAAATGCAACTCGTTGGCATTTTTTTTTTAGGAAAATATTTCGTATTGAAGTGCAGACAAGAACACAAGAGATTCATCACAGTTAGCTAAGCTAAATGCAAATGCAGGAGCAATTTTCAATTGTAATGAGATCAACCAGTAACGTTGCGGAACGTTGCAGAGATTGTCAACGTTGTCATTGCATGAAAAGGCCTAATATTTTTTCAACCGTTTCCATTCAAAAATTATTTTTATTATTGTATTGGCTTGTTTTGTAATCGTAACCATACACTAATGCTGCCTGTTATGCGAGTAGGGCATGGTTAACCCGCGCCCCACTGGGGGGGGGCTATTTATAGCCCCCCCTCCCGTTTTTCTGCAATAACTTCCAAACCGCTTGACGTATCGACGCCAAACTTTCAGTACCTTTGGCTGCATCAATTTGACACCTTGTGTCAAAATTTGAACTTCGTACCTACCATAGGTTGGCCGGAAATGACGTCAGAGTGACGTCATGTTCGGCCGATTTCGACGCAAAACATTGAACCACGGCAATCGCTCCCAAGAGCTCAGTTTTTAAGCTAGATCCAATTTCTTTGCATGAGAGGACTCAGAATAGACTGCGCTATTAAACTGCTATCTCGGATTTTCGAAATTTTGAAAATTTAGAAAATTTTATATAATAAAATTCAAAATTTATATTTTTACATTTTTTTCAAAAACTTTTTGACTTCTCGAAAAAACCGGAATATATGTGATAGAACGCATTATTATGACTAACTCTAGCAAGTTTTAGCTAAATATCTTCAAAAATGGCCAAGTTATACGCATTATTGCAAAAAATTAACAATTATTAATTTTTCAAATCACTTTTTCAGCATGAATTTGACATCGTACGCCAATATAAATAGCACCATCGTGTTTCGGAGCTCAAACTGCATCCAATAGACACCTTTTTTGTTGAAAAATTTTAACTTCAAAATTTGACCTTTTTTGACCTGAAAGTGACCTGACCTAAGCGAAATTTGACTCAAAATGACCTCGAATGACACAGACGACATCAAATTCGAAATGTTTGGCCTAAATGGACCATAAAACATGTGTCACGTGACCGACGCATGATATAATATTTTCGTGACCTGTGATGACCTGACCTTGACCTGAAAATCAAAGTACAAGTTTGGTACCCTCAGAGTATCTAGAGCATCTGATCACGAGTGTGTGAACCAAAAATGAGCCTGCTCTGACATGTAAGACGGCGGCCAGAGCCCAAAACGTGAAGAAACCAAAATGCTAATAATTTTTACTTTGACCTGACCTGTGACGTCATCAGTGACCTCGACGTCAATGAAATTAGGTTTCGCCCGACAGTTTTTCCGGGGCTATCAGACGCCGTTCGAATTTTGACGATCGGCCCAGTAGTTTCGGAGTTAGCAGGGGGGGCTATGAATAGCCCCCCCCCCCCCCCCCCAGTAGGGCGTGTTATACGCAGACCCCAGTGGGGCGCGGGTTAACACTCAAAGACAGTAGGCATGCAGTGCATATTGCACATTTAAGCTATGCATTGAAAAAATATCCTTTTATAACATTTTGCACGTATGTTAAATTTCAACAGATCACTTTCCACGGAAATGGAAATCATTCACTTCTATAGTACTCACAAACGTGTAGAGGATATAGTGTGACGTTATTGGTCAGTAGGTGATTTGAACTGAGCTGAAATGAGACGAGTGCCGCTGCTATGAAATTAGACAGAATGAGCTCTATATTCATAGGTCCCTCTTTTTATTAGATTGAAAAAGTGTATTGAAATGAAGTTAAAGCACTATACGCGAGATTTTTCAGACGTCTTTTCTCCGTTCCAATGTCGGCTTGATTATGTAGATATGGCAAAGGACGGATAAGTAACCGATAGATAAGAGAAAAGAGGAAAAAGAGAGAAATGAAAGTAAGGACCTGTAGCCAGAGATGAGAATAGAGGAAAAACTAGAGAAAGAAAGATAGATAGTGAGAGAGAGAGAGAGAGAGAGAGAGAGAGAGAGAGAGAGAGAGAGAGAGAGAGAGAGAGAGAGAGAGAGAGAGTGAGGACATGTGGTAGAGGAGAGAGCAGTGAGCAGTGAATAATGATAAAAAGCAGATAACTCAGATCAGAGAACAGCGGTAAAGATAAAGAGAGAGGAGGAGCGAAGAGAGGGGAAAAGAGATAATAAAGTGCAGAAATTACACATTATAGTAGATAATGGAGACAGGACGGAGGAGGGAAGAGAGAACAGAGTGAAATGACTCGGGAAACACCAAGCATTGTTCTCCAACTCTCATCAGCAGTTTCTATTCATACAAGCGTTTTCGACTTCACCAGGCTTGATTAAGGCTTTATGGCTTTATATCTATGCAATGTGCTGCTCTGCTATTAATTTCTATGTTTTCCGGTAGCTTTGCATACATTATCCAGAATGAAACAATAGCATACTACTAAGAAGTATTTGGTGGACACGTGAACTAAAGGAACATACATACGTGTGCCATTGCTTCTATGTAGTTCATGGACAAAAGGTATAGGTGCTTCAAGGCAGGCGTAACTGAAAATCCGCCATGATAAGCTAGAAATACAGCAAAGTCTATAATAGTGTATATCATGAACCGTATGTATGTATAATGTACATTGTATAACAGCAGCGGCGGAACACCCTCAATTAAAGGGACTATCCCACCTTCTAAAATGTTGTTAAAACCAGTTAAATTGTGCCCGACTTTATAGATTGGATGACCAGGAACACGGTTCTGGCATTTATTTTTCATTAAACATCTTAGGCTTCCCATATTCCAAACACAAACTTTCAAATATGTGACGTCACAGCCCAAAATTACCTCCTTCCCCAGGCCACATTACTGTCATAAAGCTGATTCTTTTTACTCTGTAGGCACCACATCAAAGTTCAGACCAAGTTTTAAGCGATTTTTCAACGAACAAACCCATTTAAATCAGAATGACTAAACGAGGTGACGTCACACTAACGGTCGCTCCATGTTGAAGATAGGGCCTTGTACAAGGCCCATTTTCAAATGAAGGGAACGAATTTCTTCAACACCAAGAGGCCGCGGGGGTTGCAACCTAGATAGATTGTGGTTTCTGAACCTCGCCGCAAACTTGGCTATCTCAACTCAAACCCCATGTTAACCCGCGCCCCGTAGGGGGGGGGCCGAAACGGCCCCCCCTGTCCTTTTCGGTCGATATCTCCTAAACGGCTGGAGATATCGCCACCAAACTTTCAGGACCCCTCCGGGCATCAATTTTACACATTGTGACCAAAAATTTTTTCCAGAGGCTGTGATAGGTTGGCCACAAATGACGTCAGAGTGACGTCATGTTCTGTCATTTTCGACCGAAAAAAGACCTTCGCGAGAAGACCTGTCAGGCCTACAGCTTTGAAGATACAGAAAAATGATCAAGACATAAAAGGTGTAGAATTGACAGGGCTACAAAACTGCTATCTCGGATTTTTGAAATTTTTGAGTTTTGATCCCCAAAAATCAAAAAAGCATTTTTTTGGATATATTAGCCAAAAAATCCAAAAAGTTTTTTGAGTTTCGAAAAAACCGGAATATATGTGATAGTACCTACCGTCTTCTATCTACATACCAAATTTCAGATCGATACCTCGTTTTTTGGCCAAGTTATAGCGAAAAAACTGTTCAAAAATGATGACGTCAAATTTTCAAACTCAATTTTTGGCAATTCTAGAACTCGTAGAGCAAAACAAAGACCACCATTAGACTCCCCGTGACGAGCTGCATCGAATGGATACCCATTTTATGCAAAAATATCAACTTTGAAATTTGACCTAATTTGACCTGACCTTGACCTGACCTTCACCAAAACGTGACCTAGGCTGGCCCCAAAGGCTGCCTAACCCACATAATCGCATTTGTCATGTAAAATGGACCATAAAACATGTATCACACGACACATTCATATTGTGACCCCCGGTGACCTGACCTCGCTGTGACCTGACCTGGTATCAGTGACCTCAGATAGCAAAGTATGTGTTTGACGAACAATATACCATCGATGGTTTTCAATAAATTACCAATTTACTCGATCTCACAGCACATTTCTTGAATTGCCTGTGAACGGTGAAAATCTGACCTTTGACCTGACCTGTGACGTCATCGGTTTGACCTAGGTCAATGAAATTTGGTCACAAGGTAGTTCCCGGGTAGGGCTATCAAACGCCGTTTGAATTTTGAAAATCGGCCGGTAACTTTCCGAGATCTTAGGGGGGGGCGAAACGGCCCCCCCCCCCCTACGGGCGGTAGGGTCCGCCGGTAGCCCTACGGGGCGCGGGTTAAAGGTGGGATAATCCCTTTAACCCTATTCCTGGCGGGGGGGGCCTCAGGAGCCCCCCCTGAGGTTTTTTGGTTATTTCTCCCAAACGCGTTGAGCTAGGAAGCTCAAATTTTCTGACTTTTCCTATAAGGCTTCTACGCAACATGTCTGAAAATTTTGAGTTGATCTGACCTCAGGTCAGGTCACCAGAGGCGGTTTGGTGACCCTACCTCAGAAAAGTTTGCAATCACGCCAGAGCTAGAGTTTTTGACCGATCAATTTCTTCTCTTCAGGCTTTAGTTAGGGTACCAGTATGTGCAATTTGTATATCTCGGAATTTTGATATCGGTGACCTAAGGTCAGGTCAATTTCGCGACCTCCCCATTATAAGTCAATGGGGGAAAAATCAACTCCCTGTTTTTACCACTAAAACTGGTCGGAATGGCCCCATATACCATACATGACTTCATATACGACCAACCTTCACTACCTTGAGGTCTGTTTTGCTGTTGGGCAGCTGTGAGGTCATGTGACGTCATCAAAGGTCACCAAAGGTTTTTGGCCAATAACTCCGTACAGGAACAAGATACAGATGCGTGGATGGTCTCATTGTGTTCAGCTCGTCAAGACGCATCGAATGATATACATGATGACCTCGAGGTCACGTGACCTGAGG